AAAGAAAGAAAGAAAGACTCCAGTATTGCTCTGGGAGCAGAGAAGTAGTCGCTAATAACCTTAACTCACCATTTTAATTTGATCCATCGTGTGGGTAATCTCGCTAAGCCTATGGCCCTCCGGCTGTCGATAATTTATCTAACCTCCCTCTTTGCCATCCTTTGCCCTCCACAGGAAGCATGACTTACTCCTTTGACTTGCTCATATTTGTGTTCTACAGCTCCAACGTAATAGTACAGTTACTTTCTTTCTACCGCCAAACAGGCAGCTTGATGGTTTCTAATTCTTTTCTCATCATCTTCTGACCACTTTTCTCTTCAACTTGGCCACTGAGCCACAACACTCCATGGCAGAGGGGCAGACACAACCCTCAGTAGGCCGGGTCTATAGCCCATTCCAGACAGAAGAAGTTATAGAGGACAGAGACCTCCACTTCCCCAGCACCCCATACAGAATTATGGGGATTTGGGTCTCTCAGGGGGAAATGAGACAGGGAGGCAGTGTGTGGCTAAAACTAGCTAGGAGAAGAGGCGCGACAAGACCCCGGAGCACACGCACAGGGCAGTTCCCAAACCCCTGCATGTGGCCATCTCCTGAGAACTCAAACAGGTTTCTGATTGGATGGCCTCAGCCTGAAGACCGGGTGATACAAAAAGGTCGGTCCACATTGATTTTTTGCCACTATGTTCTCTCTTGCGTGGTGGCTGCCCTCATGCGGTGTTTCCTTTTCCTGTTTTTACTTGGCCCAAACTTACTCTTCAGAGCCTGTGTCTTCACCAAGTCTTTGATCGGTGTTCTTGTGAAAATCTTCAGGCCTACTAACTGAACACTTAGTACTCTACAAAGAAGAATATTGATCTCTGCCTACACAGAGCTGGCCAGATGGGAAGGTAGGCCAGTGGAGAGGAGCATGTAAGCACACTAATAGAAAATTTGTCCTCCGGGACCGCTACACCTCTCCCCTGCTCTGCGTATCCACAACAAACCCATGTTTGTTACAACCAAATCCCAGAAACCTCTGATTTTTTTTTTTTTTTAACATGATCGATCAGCATTAAGAATCTTCTTTGAACTTCTGTGACATTCTATAACGTCCTAGGAGCAGCGGGACCCCAGAGTCTTCAGAATTTCTACGAAGTCTCTAAACCAGTTGTGCGTTTTAGGGAGGTGTAGGGGTTAAAGTACACATTCCAGAGAAACGGATAAACGTGATTTCAAATCTCAATTCCAGAGCATCAGCAATTGGAACTGGCAGTGGCCTCAGAAATCCACCAATTCACTTCAGTCAGTTTACTGACAAGGAAACGGACTCACGTGAGGATCACAGGGAGGAAGGAGCGACGTGTCTGAGCTCAGCTCCCCCTGCACCCGGCCTCTCAGGGGCAGTCCTCAGGAGCACTCTATTCAAGGTCAGCCAGGAGGGGGCGCTGCACACAACGGTGAGATCACAGCAGAGGCGATGGCAAGGCAGGGTACAGAGCCCGGGGGCGCTGCAGTGGGATTCTCGCTGGCAAGGGGGTCTTCCCTACAAAGCTCACCAAGACATTCAGCTGTTTACTGAGGACCTACTGAATGCCCGAGTTATTAGTGCCTTGGAAACACATAAAGATCCTGTATAAAATGATTACAGAGAAAAAAATTACCTGCTACTTTAGGGAGTATCGGCTATGTAAACTAAAAAAGTTCAGAAGGAAAAGAACCAAGCTGGGTGCGATGGCACGCGCCTGTAATCCCAACACTTCCGAGGCTGAGGCAGGAAGAACTATATAGCTGAGTTCAAGGACAGCCTAAACGACACAGGGACCCTGCCACAAAAAAGCAAAACAGAAGCACAGGAAGAATACTGGAAAGGAAGAGGAAGAACATTCCGAGTGTGAGGGTCAGCACAGGCAAAGACCCTGAGAGAGGGATACAGGAAGATAGAAGATCCTTGTAAGTAAATAATAAATGCACACAGCACACGAGTAAATAATAAATGACAGGTATAGCATTAGGTAGAAGAAAGGAGTGGAAATAATGTTATCTGAGAGGAGTCAGGCTGGGCCTTGGGAATCAGGTAGCTCAGTGTGATGTGTGCAGAGGACGGGGCTGCCCGGGGCTGTGTACATTACAGAACTATCCGGACTATCGAAAAACTATGGTGACGTCTCTAGAGGGCCAGAAAAAAACTTGAGCAAATCGTACAACATGTATAATTTGTGAGCAGGCAGAGGATGTTTCCTGAGCCCTGACTAGAATTAGGGAAAGGTGACTGAGACACGGTCCTTTACTGGCCGAACAGAGCATGACATAGCCCCGTGACAGGGCAGCGTGTGGACACCAACAAAGAACTCGGCAACTCTGGAATCATTTCCATGTGGAGTGTTGACGGAGGAGCAAGGTGCAGGGCTGACCCGTGGTTTGTAAGGGCGAAGGCACGGGGAGGACAGAGGTCTCTAGGTACATGGGAAGGAAGATACACACGGCCTGAGCACAGGACCCGCTCCTTGGGAAGAAGAGATGCAGACTGGTGCGGCGTGGAAAGACTTTTGACGCCTTGCTCTTCTGGACCCTTTTGTATTCTTTTTTTTTT